AGTCATTTAATCTCACTGGACTCTTTTTATCAGTTGTTGTTATAGAGATGAAATGATCACAAAGAGGCAAAAGTGCAGCCAGCTCACATTTATGAAATGTGAAAAAATGTGTTGAGAGTTGCATAATAGTTAACAAGTACTTTGATCCTATTTTTAAAAGGAGATGTATTTAACAACTGCCACATAAAGGTAGGGCTACTAATTGACTGTGGGGCAAACTTCATTGTTTCTGAAGTTCAACCTCAATCTCTTTACAATGCACATTTTTTTTTTCTTCCTGGTGTGCATGGTCTATTTTTTGTTTTCATCAGCTGAGTGTTCCATTGATTGAAACAGGAAATAATGAATTGGGTTGTTACTCAAGCCTGATATTGTGGGCTGAGAGAGAGTGACTGGCCCAAAGTCCTAGCAGCTTTCATGCCTAAGGCGGGATTAGAACTCACAGTCTCCTGATTTCTAGCCTGGTGCCTTAACCATGGGCCCATCCTGGCTCTCAATTTACAATGCACATATGCAGGGAGCAATGTGTACTCTTATGTTAAATAAGCTACCCTGTTGCATCACTTAAAGATACAAATCCTTTCAAAGGCAATTTACAAATAAACCAGAATTATCCGATCATTTTAAGAAACAAGCGTATAATAATTACAAAATCAGCAGACCTGAATGTGGGAAACACTGGGCTGTCTTGGCACATCACTATGATTAGATTTATATCTAATCTATATTTATATCTTTAGTAGCTCAAGATGACATATATTCAGCACTTTCTTCCAATTTTTTCTCCTATCAATCCTGTGTGGTAAGTAGGATTGGTAGTGAATAGCCCCAAATCACTCTGTAAGTTTCCTGTTTGAAGGTGATCTGGATTTCCCAGTTCCCAGCTTCAACTATTACACCACATTCCATAATATAAACATGCAATCTACTGGAACAAATAAGTGAAGTAATCTCTAACCCAAAACCATACCATATATACCAGTGTTGGATACCGAGCACACATCTTCAAAGTTAGCTGAAACATTTTCAGTTTAAAAGAAATGCATAAATGTCCAATAGCTGCAAAGTAATAAGTGCCTCCTTAATTTATGAAATTGGTTTTATGACCATAGAAAACTATAGAAAACATTCTGGATTTTGTACCTCAGGAGCTCAAAGTAAAAAGTGCATTGGGGAAAGTATAGATGCCTTCAATCTATTCCTAATTTAAGTCTTAGGACAGGTATCTAATTCTTTGTTCTAGTTGTTCACTTAACACAACACGCAGAAGTTGCATGGAATGCTACCAATTTATATTTTGACCAGCTCATTTCAAGGTACTCCAACTGCTCCCTTTTTCTGAGTTTGGAATTTCACTGCCTACCTTCTGACTTTTGAAGTCAGAACTTCTCAATCCTTGCCCAGGATGATGGTGGATCTAATGTTAGGAGCCTACCTTTGAACTGTTCAATTTGATCAATCTTGGGAAGCTACAAGACTTGAGCCTGTGTTCTTAGGATAATTGGATCAGTAAATTTAGATCATTCTGGATTACATTTCTGAACCAGGGTGGATCTACCATTGGCAAAACAAGATGGATTCCTTATACAGCAGATGTTGTGGAAATAGGCAGGGCCAGAGAGCTTGTTTATACTCCCTGAGTTAGCATGATGTCTTCAAACAATGAAAGACGATGATTATTGCTGGGGTCCACGTAAGATGCAATTGCCAGGTTGATCAACTTCTTTAAGACAGAATGGGAAACAAAATCCTTGGACTTCTTAATTGAAAATTATAAAAGTGCAGAGTGATAAGTGATATCTGCAGTCTTAGAATTTATTCTACTATTGTTCTGTTGTTTCATTTCAGAAAAGCTAAAACCTGATCTTTATTTAATTATTATTTCCTTTCTTTTTTGGAACCCCGACTACCAAAGCGCTAACAATTGCTGTAACCAGTACATGAGATTAAAACTGGGAATGATCCAGGATCTTCCAGCTAATGCTTTTGGATTTCTCAGTAATTCTCAGCCTTACTTTGTCACAAGGACTTGGGGACTTATGTATGTCACTTTTACCTCTTTAAAAAAAAAAGTTGTAGATAATTGCTGAGAATTTTCTGCAAATGTACCAATCAATACCACCTTTGTCTGGGTTTTATTATTATGGATTTTGCATGGTCTTTTCTACCTTTTGTCTAATTGGCATATGAACTCTCTTTTGGCTTATGATGGAATAGAGATCCCGGTGCATAGAAAAGAAGCAATTTTTCCTCTCTCTTCTCTTTGTTGACTTAATTCCTTTATATCTCTATGGCCAAACCTTCTTTGTTAATTCTTTCTGGTTTATTCAGGAAAACAATAACTTGTCAGCAGCAAAATGACATAATTGGGAATGATGTGTGCCAAGATATTCTTGGCTTATGAAACCAACATGCTAAGTATGTAGGGCTCCTCAGGTTCAGATCATCAGAATAAAAGGAGAATCCACTTTATGAGTACAGATCAATCCTGTTTAAGCTAAAATCATCTAAGCAAGGATTGCCTCAAAAAACATCCAATTGTGTTAAGGCCTTCAGGGTGGTAGTTAATGAACCAATTCATCTGGTTTATGTGAATCCTTTTGTTCTGCCATCAGAATACTTCCTTTTTTAAGGGTGTGTGAAAAATGTTTGACAATGCAGGTGAGGCAGATTGCAAACACCTCTGGGTTACATTTCTCATACACAATTTGGGATGGGTAGATTTTTGCATTTGGTGGGAGGTGAATATATATGAACATTTATGCCTTTTTGGAAGCGATGTTACCAAATTCTTGATTTCTAAATACTGTAGACCAGTGATGGTGAACCTTTTTAGAGACTGAATGCCCAAACTGCAACCCAAAACCCACTTATTTATCACAAAGTGCCAACATGGCAATTTAATCTGAATACTGAGGTTCTAGTTTAGAAAAAACAACTCATACATTAACATCTTTTGTTTTAAAAGAAAAACACAATAGCAAAGCTTTCAATGATACAAACTACTTTTTACTGAAAGGTAAAAGTTTGCATTTGGCATGCTTTTGAACAATTAATGTAATTTTTGCTGCTGTATGCATGCTGATAATTTGTCTAACCTTGGCTTATACTTTGTAAGTTTGAGAGCAACACATGCAGCGCTCAGGTCATCTGTTAGTCTGTTTCTGGCATCAGATTTGATATAATTCAAAGCTGAAAACAGTGCGCTCGCTCTGGTGGCTTGTTTTGGCTAGGAAGGGGCTTGAGAAATGGCTTTTTCCTGCGAAAACTTAGCCAAAGAGTGAGGCACGTGTGCCCACAGAGAGGGCTCCGAGTGCCCCCTCTGGCATGTGTGCCATAGGTTCGCCACCACTGCTGTAGACTAACATGACCTCTCTACACAACCACATAGGCAGTATTGAGGCCTGACTCAATTTATTGTCCATTTGTTAGCCTAAACAGGTCATGGGCAGGCAGGAGTATTTCCTGATCTACCTGGAGAAGCTGAAGATTTAACATGGGACTTTCTGTATGAAATAAAAATGCTTATTTTATTTATTTATTTGATTTCTACAGCCACCCATCTTAGCAAACAACTCTAGGTGGCTCACAATTCAAAATGTATATTAAAACCTTAAAAACAGTAAAAACATGAAAAGGTCTAATTTGAAATATATACAAAGCAAGATATCTGGCCTGTTTAAAAATCTAGCCAATAACAGCTTAGCAACTGTTTTGTGGCCTTGCTATCTATTTCATCTAATTGAGAGGTAAAAAAAAGATAGTTTCAATATTTGTTAATCATATTTAAACATAGAGAGAGAGGAAAGGAAAGAGGGGAGAGAAAGAAAGGGAGAGGGGGAGAGGGGGAGAGAGAGAGACAGAGAGACAGAAAGAGAGAGGGGGGGCAAAGTTTTGCTCTTTCCTTTATGTCAGAATTTTGTTATTTGGATCACTATTTCTCAACATTGGCAATTTTAAATTGTGTGGACTTCAACTCTCAGAATTTCCCAGCCAGCAAAGGAAATGCAAGGCTCTGGGGAATTCTGAGAGTTGAACACTATATGTCTTAAATTTGAGAAACACTGATTTGGTGTTACCATTGAAAATGTTCTTTCACTTTTCTTCTAACAGAAGATAAGATTTTGCTTTATAGTCAGATGTAATAATAAATTTATGAGCTTCTACCCCCCATGCATACAGATGAAGCAATTGTGGGAACTGTTCAGAAGCATCTAAAGCCAAAGAGTCAAATAGTGGTCATGGAAAGTACCCTAATCTAACAGCTAGGTCTGTGTTGCATCAGAGACTTCCAGGAAGTAGCAGAGAATTTAACCTACCCTTTCCCAAACTGGTGCTCATCAAATGTACTGCAAATGGGATTCCCAATCAGCAAGGCCAAAATACATGGTTGCCAGGAATTCTGGGCATTAATTTCCCCTCCTCTGGGGTAGTGGGATAAAGAAGACCAACTTAGTCATTTAACTTGGCTGTTCTACCTAGGACAGTGGTGAACCTATAGCACGTGTGCCAGAGGCAGCACTTGGAATCCTCTCTGTGGGCACATGTGCCGTTGCCCCAGCTCACCTCCTCCCACCACCTCCTCCACACTTGGGGGCGACCCCCTCCACACCAGCACCCCCCTGGAGGAGAATCGCCCCCCAAGTGTGGCCCACGCGGAGCAGCACAACTAAGGACATGGCAGCCAGGCAGCGTAGACAAGACTCTGCCTTCATGCCCCATCATGCACAGTTGATGCTGCGGGGCGCAGGCGGAGGGTGTGGCCACCATGGCACTGCTGGGCTGCCTGGGTGATCTGCTGCGGGCCCTGGAGACAGTGAGCGTCCTTCCGGCCAGGCAGGGTGGGGGTGGGGCAGGGGGTGGAGCGGGGGCAGGGCCAGGTTTGGGGCACTTGGTCTCTAAAAGGTTCGCCATCACTGACCTAGGACAAAACAAGGGATACCTTTTCCTGAAGAAATCATAAGATGGTTGGTTCAGTTTTATTATTGTCATTGTTCTAGATGACCCTGGATCCTGACCTGGCTAGAATTGGAAAATGAATCCAGTTGGATGGGAGAAAAGTAAGTTCCCCAAGTCTTCAGTTTTTCATGGAAAAGAATTATCTAAGAACGTTCTTTTGGATGCCTGTTTCATCTGCTCATGAAGTAGTAGGCTGCAGAGAAAGTGCATTAGAAGCTATCAATCAACGTAATAGACAGGAGATGGAGAAAAGGTTAGGATATAGTATTTATTTGTATTACATGAGGAACTTTTAAGGAGAAAGTTTTCCACCATCCCGCCTGTTGTCGTTAAAATCAAATTTCAATTCAGTCTTCCTGTATTGGTTAAAGGTATATAAGTAGTCCTCGGCTTACAACAGTTCATTTATTGACCCTTCAAAGTTACAATGGCAGTGACAAAAAAAAGATTTATGACCACTTTTCACAACCACTGCAGCATCCCCATGGTCACATAATTAAAATTCAGATCCTTGGCAACTGACTCATATTTATGACATTTGCACAATCCTGGAGTCACATGATCCCCTTTTGCAATCTCTGACAAGCAAAGTCAATCAGGAAGCCAGATTTACTTAACAACCATGTTACTAATTTAACAGCTGACGTGATCCACTTAACAGTGATTCCCTGTGGCAAGAAAGGTTGTAAAATTGGGCAAAGATCACTTAACAACTGTCTCACTTAACAACAGAGACTTAGGTTCAAATATGGTTGTACGTTGAGGGCTACGTGTACAGCATCTATCAGCTCTAGCTAGCATGGGCACTGACTGAAGGTAGTGGAAATTGTTGTTCACCATAGTAGTCTCAATTAGTTCATCCTATTTTGCTGTGGCATTGTATTATATAGAAAGTACCAGTCCAACACTTTTTCTATCCGTATCCAGTACCTATATCTGTATAGAGGTTCAGGGTAAAGTCCTTAGAAGGATCTTCTTGTGATGATAAAATTGAGTAAAATTACAATTCAAGTTGTTGGTAGTTGCTGACAAATGTAGTCTCAGAAATATTTCTGTGTCCTCTGAGAATGTTTCTGAGATCCACTGAAATAAAAAGGAGATTGTAAGCATTAAAAAATGGTTCAAAAGAGGCTAGGCAATATTTCTTGTGGATATACTTTTATTCATCTGTTAAGAATTGGAGTTTTTGATAGATTTCCATTCATAAAAATAGAAAGATGTCACTTACTGAATGAGAGCATCATTTCTGAACATTCTGAGTATAAATGTCCATTTGACCGTATTGTGGTGATATTAGTAAACACAAGTTGTTTAATTTGTCAGTGTTCAAGATGATAAACTATGGATAAATAAAAAGACATAAAGACCTATTCTTGACCTACTTCATAAATATGGCTTTATATTATTTACTTTCCTGCAGTGAAAAAAATGCTTTCAAGTATTTGTTCTTCCGCCGATACTAAACTTTATAGTTATCTGGGGGTATGGTAGACACCTTTTTCCTTCCATTTCCTTTTCTTAAATTGCTTTAAAAGAGCTATTTTGTATGACACCTAAGCAGTGTATGTCATACCAAAATAGAATATTTTAAAAAAATAACAAATGTTTATTTGCATTTACCATGGAATGAAAAAGTGTATTGCAGGAAGATGAGCAAAAGTGGTTAAAATCAGTGTAACTAAAAAGAATCTGATAGTTCATAGCTCTGGAATCTAAATTTGCTTAGTTATATTGCTTTGTTGAAATAGTCTGGAAAAGTGAATTGCCAAAAGAAGGTGAAAATATTTAATCCAGCAGTTCCAAAGGCTTCATGATAAGTGGTTTAAAGGAATCTTCCAACTGTGAATTAAAATAATTGTTTTCTAGATGCCCACAGGCTAAATTATGAAGGGCAGAAACAAATGTCATATAAAGTAAACTGGAGGTGTTTTATATTCTGCTTTTTGTTTGCTGAACATCCTGTTGCTCATAAAATTCAAATTCTGTTTTACCTTCATGTAAATTAATGCTTAAAATTCTACAAGCTAGACTCCAGCAGTATGTGGATCGAGAATTACCAGAAGTACAGGCAGGATTTCGAAGAGGCAGAGGAACTAGAGATCAAATTGCCAACATACGCTGGATCATGGAGAAAGCTAGGGAGTTCCAGAAAAACATCTACTTCTGCTTCATTGACTATGCTAAAGCCTTTGATTGTGTGGATCACAACAAATTGTGGCAAGTTCTTAAAGAGATGGGAGTACCAGACCATCTCATTTGTCTCTTGAGAAACCTATATGTGGATCAAGAAGCAACAGTGAAAACTGGACACGAAACCACTGATTGGTTCAAAATTGGGAAAGGAGTCCGGCAAGGCTGTATACTGTCACCCTGCCTATTTAACTTATATGCAGAGCACATCATGAGAAAGGCAGGGCTAGATGAATCAAAGTTGGAATTAAGATTGCCGGGAGAAATATCAACAACCTAAGATATGCAGATGATACCACTCTAATGGCAGAAAGTGAAGAGGAACTAAAGAGCCTCTTGATGCGGGTGAAGAAGGAGAGTGCAAAAGTTGGCTTGAAATTCAACATTAAGAAAACCAAAATCATGGCATCTGGCCCTCTCAATTCCTGGCAAATAGATGGGGAAGAAATGGAAGTAGTGACAGATTTTATTTTTCTGGGCTCCAAGATCACCTCAGATGGGGACTGCAGCTAAGAAATTAAAAGACACTTGCTCCTGGGGAGGAAAGCTATGGCAAATCTAGACAGCATCCTAAAAAGCAGAGACATCACCCTGCCAACAAAAGTGCGTATAGTCAAGGCCATGGTTTTCCCAGTTGCAATGTATGGATGTGAAAATTGGACCATAAGAAAGGCTGAGCGACAAAGAATTGAGGCCTTTGAACTATAGTGCTGGAGAAGACTCCTGCAAGTCCCTTGGACTGCAAGGCATTCTAACCGGTCAGTCCTAGAAGAGATCAACCCTGACTGCTCTTTAGAAGGCCAGATCCTGAAGTTGAAACTCAAATACTTTGGCCACCTAATGAGAAGGAAGGACTCACTGGAGAAGGGCCTAATGCTGGGAAAAATTGAGGGCAATAGAAGAAGGTGATGACAGAGAATGAGGTGGCTGGATGGAGTCACTGAAGCAGTAGGTATGAACTTAAATGGACTCCAGAAGATTGTAGAGGGCAGGAAGACCTGGAGGAACATTGTCCATGGGGTCACGATGGGCCAGACAGGACTTTGCAATTAACAACAATTAACAACAAAATTAACTGAATGTTGCAGCAAAAGCTGAAAAGTACTTTGAGTTTTTCCCAGTGTAAGCACACTTCTAAAAATGATAAGCTTGTGGCTAAAACAAACACAAATTGCCACTGCACTGTATTGATAAGTTACCTAAGTTATAAAAATTGAGGGCGATACTGTTTCCAGTTTTCATTCATGCTTTGAACAATCCAGGAAATTGCAATATAAGCTCAAAAATCTTTGCCCAGTATTGATTGTTTATGAGAGCTTTGCAAAACCTAAGAATTATTGTTAATTTTATTCTAGATTTTTATCCAGAACCAAGCCAAGCTTGTAAGCCTTTTGGTAATGTCTCTTTGATAATACCTGTCCTGTCTTCTAGTAGGGAAAGAAATATATACTTTAGGATTATTCCTGTTCTTTACTTTTTTTATTGCAAGGAAAATGTATCCCAATTATAACTATCTATATGGAATGAAATGTTACAAATACTGGATATGTTTCCAGTCTTTGTAACATTTCATTCTAGGTATACTAACATATCGGTGTAACAGAACTATTCACTTTATATAATGCCTGAACCTAGAAATATTTTCCAACCATGAATTTCATAGCTGCCTTGTCAACATATAGTGAATCAAAATCCAAAAAAGGGATATCTTTGACAATACAACATAGTCACAACTAATCTAAATCCTACTATTTAAATATAGAGGCAGTTTTACTAACATTGTCTTATGGGGGTGGAATTTTTTTTAAAAAAACTAGACTCATCTTCAGAGACAGGAAATAATAGCATGCTCTAGTGCAAGGGTCCTTAACCTTGGCCAATTTAAGACTTGTGGACTTCAACTCCCAGAATTCCTCAGCCAGCAAAACTTTGCTGGCTGAGGAATTCTGGGAGTTGAAGTCCACAAGTCTTAAATTGGCCAAGGTTGAGGACCCCTGCTCTAGTGGGTGCTTCTACATTCTTATTAAATCTATTACCCTCACACAGGATTTCCTGCTTGGTTGTGAGGGTTCCAAGAAATAAAAGGCTATCTTTTTTTTTAATGGAAACTGTAGTTTTCCTCAGTTAATATTTTTAACTCTCTTTGTATTTCTCTTAATTCATTCTCAATACTGTAGATCCAATTTAGCATGTATGCATTATTTTCTACAGAGTAGAATACATTGTTTTCATTTTCTTCCTGAATTGCATTGGATTAAAGCTAGCTGATGCTGACTCTGAATACACTTTTTTTCCCCAAAGCTTATTTGTGCAACTAAATATTCTTTGTTGATTAGGAAAAGAAAACTTTCTCTTTAAAAACAAGCAAAAATGCAGGTTGGTAAAAGCCAAGTATGCATGCCAACCTTCTACATCTGGGGAGTTTTCCAAATGTGTTGAGTGGAAATGCTTTCCACCCATTTTCTGAATCATCAGAAAATAATTCAGGTGAAATTGTGGTGCCTATTGCTGATCCTTATTCTTCTAAATGGCTCTGTTTCAAGTCACTGCAGTCATCTGATTTTCATCCAAGATAATAGAAGAAAAGCCAGGCAGATTTTTGTCCATTTTTGAGACTGTCCTTGAATGGCATATGAATACAGGGAAAACAGGACACCTTAGAATTCTTCATGCATAGTAGGATGGAACAATCTGAAAGCAACATTATGGGGGTAGGGCAGAAGACAAGAAATTGCCAGGTCAGGTTGATACCATGCTTAGCTGTCAGTGGGGAAAAGTCCTAAAATTTAGGACTTTTCGTGGAACTGAGTGGGACAGCCAGAGTTCTTCAACCAGCTTTTTAAAAGATAACAATAGCACTTAGATGTATATACCACTCCACGGTGCTTTACGGTGCTTTAGCACTCTCTTACAAAACCAGCATATGGCCCCCAACAGTCTGGGTCCTCATACAATTTATAACTGAACAGAAGAGATTACATTTATTATATCCAAGAAGGCAATAAGCCTTCGGCTATTCAGGAGCCTTACTTAAGACATCAGGCTAGAGACTGGGAGTTCTAGTCCAATCTTAGGCACAAAGCAAGTTGGGTGTCTCTGGGCCAGGCAGTCTCTCTCAGCTCTAGGAAGGATACAATGGCAAACCACAAGAGGGGGGGGAGGGAGGGAGGGAGGGAGAGAGAAAGAGAGAGAAAAAACTCCTTTTAAGGAATATAGTAGCCTATTTCTAATCAAAGAACTATGGAGTTATTCTTTTGAAAATGTATCTTTTTCTTTATTTTGTTTAAATTCACATTAAAACAGGAACTGCAATTGTAAGAAACATTGGGGATATGTTTTCCTCATCTTACAAGGTATACGCACATGTATGAGCAAACACATAAAGGCAGATGCATATTTTATTAATATATATGTACTAGCACTGCATTATTCATTCTCTGAAGAATAAACAATTCCAGAAGAAGCTACCAAGGATGATTGACTTGTTAGCAGGTGGAAGATTAAATTAATGGGGACAGTGGAGCACTAAAACAATGAGAAGCAGACACCAGTTATAGACAGCTAGATTATATCAACAAGCAAGATCTTATTGGCATATAAAAGATTAGATTTACCTGTCCTCTTTCTCTTGAATACTATTGTTAAACAGATCTAAAAATTAATGTAGAGTGAGCCTTGGAACCTTTATGAAGTAATCTTATGCAGGTGGATCCTATAATAAATCTCACTCTATGGGTCTCATGATCATTTTAAGAAGATCAGAGAAACAGTTGTAACTAAAATAAAAATAACAAAAATATTCGTGGAACCAGTTTGATTCTGGAAAATAAAGTTGTTCAAAATATTAAAAAATTATACCTTTTAAAAATAGAATTATAGAATGACAGAAACATTTGCAGTGAGAGATTGTAGATAATGTAATCAGAAACTGAATCTCCTAGAAAGGATTATATGACTGACATTCGGACCAGCTGGTAAATAGAAAGGCATCAGTCATGGATGAAGTGTCCATTGATCTGTTTAAAGCTGTAGGAGGAGAGGAACATAACCTGACAATAACAAATAGAGAACAAGACTGTGTATGAATCAATATGCATGTGTGCATACAGACCCACAGAGAGAGATGCGCTTAAATACATGTACTAAAAAAAAGAGATCCAAGAAATAGGACAAATGACTGAAGCCCGTAACTTTTTTACACAAGCAGAATTTGGCTCATGATCTTACAAGGAGGAGGAGGAGAGAGGGAGGGAGGAGGAGAAAACTATCCATGGATCAAGAAACACCGAAAGAAAAGCAGGCTTCAGAAGGTTGCAGGACACAAGGTCAAACAGTCAACATGAATAGAAAATGGAGAGAACAAAAGAGGTTTGACTTCAGCAAGGCTTTTGACTGTAAAAATCAGCCAGAGTATGAAACAGAGTATGGGTAATCATTTTGCAGGAATACCTGTCTTCCTTCCCAAAAATTTTTTTTTTACAATGAATACAAATTTGGGGGGGAGTGATTCATAACAGTCCATAACAGTTGAGACTTTGAAGATTCAAATGAGGACGAGGGACAAAGATTGGCAAGACAGAAAGCTGTTGAAGAAAGGGGAGATAATGGATATAAGTGGATGGATGGGACCAAAGAGTTTATTGAAATGTCTCTAGAAGATCTATGAGGTATTAATACCATGAAGATAGTGAGCACTGATTCATATAGATACTGGAACCCGTACACCTACTAGATCAGGGGCAGGCAACCTTGGCTCTTTTATGACTCGTGGACTTCAACTCCCAGAATTCCTGAGCCAGTCCATGAGTCATAGAAGAGCCAAGGTTTCCTGCCCCTGGTTTAGAGAGTACTTAACCATGTTCTGGTAAATTTTGAAAAAAAACTGACTCTGCTGACCCCATTGCCACCACTGTGCCACCAACTGCAGAAAACTTGATCAGCCTGCTGGGTGTACTGTAGTGGCTCAGCTCTGCTCTCAATCTGCTTGCAAAATTCCAGAGAATTTAACAAATTTAACCCACTCTGAGCCAGCTTCAGCACGCCACTCTGCTTAACTGAGCCTCTTGTTACAAAAATGAAAGCCAAAAGGGAACAGTAGGAAAGGTACTGAGATTTTAGAAAAAATGAAAATTACAATCAATAGGGGAGGGGAAGTGTAGGAAGATGAAAGCAAGCTTCAGACCTTTCAGAAGAATGAAGTTAATGTCTACTATAAACTGGGTTTTCTAGTAACATAATTAGATTTCAGAGAAACATCAGCCTTCTTCGCTCATGCATTGCATGTAGGAAAGGGTTTCTAGAATTTATGGAAAGTTTACACATACAAAGATTTACACTCATATAGTCTCCTTGGCAGATCTCTGTGTCAAATTGCCAGGGCAATATTTTCATGTGACCTTGGACCTATTAGCAATATAACCTTGCAGCCCATTCTATGAATGATGGCTTGTCACATACATAAAGTTGGAAACCGGGGCTGCTGAGTTTGAGATCTATACCCTTAGTATTAATAACTAGAAAAGAACAGAATATCTGTACTGCTATTGCAACAGAAGTAACAGATTTTAGAACAATTGTTTATATGTTGAATAACAACTTCCTCCTCCCTTTAAAACATAAACACACATTCCAGATAGCTCCCCCGTTGATGCTATAAAAATAATACCATATACTTTCTAAGACCAAATCAGTTCTCAGAGTGTTATTGCTTATGCAAGCCAGAATAGCAGCACAACAGGAGGGTTATAGAGATCCCAGGGAACCTGAGAGTTGCAAAAGTACAAAGAATCATTTTCAAAACACTCAAGAGGAAAGGAAAAACCCCAAAGAGCCTCCAAGAAATAAATGCCAATAATGTCCGGCAAATATTTGACTGACCAGGGAAAATGTGACACTTAAGATGGTAAGAAACAGAATGGAAAGTCTGGGATCTGAACATTATATGTTCGTATCTAATTTAGTGTACTGAATGCGTTAATATTAACACATTTACAAAATCCTCCCTTCTCACATCTGCTATTCTTTAATTCTTGTGTTATTTTAAAATATACAGACAGAGTAAAATGGAAGAATCAAACAACATGCAAAGAATCGCAGTTTATGCCAAAGGGAGGCACATTCAGCCAATGCCAGTTACACATTTTCCATTCTTTCACCCTCCGGATTCTTCCAGATGGAAACTTCTTTGAGCATTGTCAATCAAAAGACCCCAGCATTCCCTCTTTCCTTCCTTGAAGGGATTTTTGAGCTTATAAAAAGGCAGCCTTGGAAAAGTGTATAAGGATGATAGGCTGAAGAAACAAATATCTGCCTTTCTCTTTCCACCCCCTCCCATTCCACTATGTAAGGCCGGGTACTTGCACAGCCAAAATATCACCTCAAAGCACCATCTGTTCAACTTCAAGCTGAATGACATCTCATCTCCAGAGTCTCCTGAATGTCCCTTTCCAAACAAGGCTGAAAACAGGGATTCCAAGACCAGCCAGCCAGTCAGTATTGACTCCATTTTTTTTCTCCCTTTCCCAAGATATCTGTCAGCGGACCCCCCACATTAGATTCCCTTCATGCTCTGCAGACATCCTAACATGGAACACAATGCCAATGTAAAATGAGAGAAGGAAGACTATTTTATTATTGCATTGTTGTTTTTATAGCTGCTATATTATATTCTTGCTTATGTCAATTTGTTTTTCCTGCTATTTGCATATTATTGGTTTTATTTCTTATGTAGGTCTCTGAATTTTTTGTGTAGGTCGTTGCAGAAATGAAAGTGGAGAAGTGGGATGTAAATATTTTAAACACAATGAATTCACAGAAGATCGGCACTTTCATTTGTTCACTATCAATATTAGTGGAAAACAAAGACTAATGCAAGAGGAAAGACATTTGCAAGGCAAAGGAAGGGAACAGAGTAACTTAGATGGCCTTTTATATGTTTATTTATTTATTTGTGAGACTTATATACCACTTTAAGTGCAAGCACTCTCTAAGCGGTGTACACCAGTAAGCAATGTATATATATATTTACATTGCCCCCAACAATCTGGGTCCTCATTTTACCTACCTCGGAAGGATGGAAGGCTGAGTCAACCTTGAGCCGGTGAGATTTGAACCGCTGACCTGCTGAACACAGTCAGCTAAAGTGGCCTGCAGTACTGCACTCCAACTGCTGCGCCACCTCGGCTCAATATGTTGGGTAACAATTGTAGTGCTGCATGTTCCAATCCCTTGGAATTTAATTTTTAATTTAATTTTTCCTTAATCACCAGTTTCCTTCTTCAAACGATTATTTGAGTTATATATCCGGCAATTAAACTCATAAAAATAATAATTTTACCATTTTTAGTTGCTTTCAATTTTTTAAAGTTTATTTTAGACGGTTAGTTATATAAAAAAAATATGCAAAAAAAAAGAGAGATATCCTTTCCCAAGGATTCCTTCTCCTCTTTTCCCTACAAGCATCCATTATGTTCATAAAATCCAGTTTTGGCTCTCCTGCATTGACCCAGAAGGAGATAAAAATGCTGATATCTTCTTTCACTGAAGCCACCGTCTCTTCGTCAGACCAGTAATATCAAGTATATCAGATAAGCCCTCCATCAAAGCTGTTCTTTGTGCTTATTGTTACTACAATCCATTTTAAGTCAGTGCACAATAGACTCTGTGGCAGGACTCTCTCTGAATGGTGCTGCTTGTTTCTTCTTTTCCTCCCTCAAAGCAGGGTGTCCGGTCTGTTTGGGAAGCAGATCCTATTCTGCAGCAGCTGCACCATCCCAAAAATAATATTTCTGGGTGTGCAATTCAGAAGTAAGTTTGCCTAAAGCAAAGGAGAGGAGCATATTTTAACTCTGTACATATGGGATTATGACCTTGGGAGTTCTTAAACACAAGAAGCATTGAAATAAGCTACATCTGAACAAAAGTATCTCCTGGGTCCCAACCATATTAGCATATTTTCATTAGACCACGTCTATATGGATTGTACCTTGTGTCTTTGTTTTTTCCATTCTTCATGTCTCTTCCATTCTGATTGCCCTTGTTTTTGGCTCTGTGGTGTGGATTTCCTCTTGGTGCCTCCATCCCTTGGAATGAAAGTGAGGTTAAGAGAAGACAGGGAGATTGCCTAGCAAGGATTCCCCTAGCACAGGGGTCTTCAAACTTGGCCCTTTTATTGTGTGCCTGGCTGAGGAATTCTGGGAGTTGAAGTCCACAAGTCATAAAAGGGCCAGATTTGAAGACTCCTGCCCTAGCAGAATACTCACACATTTGGTTTCCGTTTCCTAAGTGAAAAACTTTGCATTTGTTTCTATCATGATGATATTTTCAAGTCACTTCTCTAACCTATCTATTTATTTTGCATTTTGTTTTGGTCTTTTAATGTATTTACTATTCCTCCAATTTAATAACTTCTGCAATTGTATAAACATCCCTCCACCTCTTCATCTGAGCCACCTAATGAAAGTGTTGAAGAGCACAGGGTCCCAGACCTGTTGGTTCCTTTATTTGATTTATTTAATTCTGTATTCTTTATTTAATTAAATTTAGGCACTGCCCAATTCCAAACCAACTCTATCTTTGCCAGTAAGGCTATCAATGAGAGATGCTCTCAAAGAGTATCTGGGCAAAAGGAAGAAACTTGAGGAAAAGAGTAACCCAGCTGTGATATTCTCCCCGAGGCATGCCTATCACCTACACCGGTGATGGCAAACCTTTTAGAGACTGAGTGCCCAAAAACTGCCCCTGCCCCTGCTCCACCCCCTGCCCCACCCCGCTCTGCCCCCCATTCCCCACTCTGCCTGCCCACAGGGCCACTCACTGCCTCCAAGGCTCGCCGCAGATCGCCCAGGCAGCCCAGCAGCGCTAGGGCAGTCACGCCCTCTGCCCGCACCCTGCAGCATCAACTGTGCACGATGGGGTGTGAGGGCAGAGTCTTGTCTACACTGCCTGGCTGCCATGTCCTTGGCTGCGCTGCTCCGTGTGGGCTACACTCAGGGGCAACTCCCCTTCAGGGAGGCTGCTGGAGAGGAGGGTGTCACGGGAGGAGGCGAGGCTGGGGCAATGGCACGTGTGCCCACAGAGGGGGCTCCAAGTGCCACCTCTGGCACCCGTGCCATAGGTTCGCCACCACTGGCCTACACTGTATTCATTTTGGCATAATGCAATATTTTTCTATATCTTTCCAACATAACATATTAATTCTTTACAACTTTGGTTTTATTTTGGCTCTATTATCCTTTGCTTTTTGATGTGCATTTATATAAACTTCCTTCTTGTTTTACTTGCATAAGATCCTAGTTCCAATCCTCATGTAGTTCGTAAACAAGATGAAGTCTGTCTCTGAGTCAGGCTTCCACAATTTTAAATCTACTACATGTCTTAAGTCTGTAACTCCCAAAATTCCTTGCCAACACCGTCTGTGTTAGAAGGCACCTCAGTGACAATCTAATCTTCTGAAAAGCTAGTGGTACTCATCAGACACCACTGATATATTGGAAATATTGATTAAGGGCCAAAAACAGTGTGCTAAATCAATAATTGTTTTAAATATTAATTAGCCAAATGCTTGTGCTAATTACTTTGGGAATGCTTGTGGACAATGGACATTACAAGGATTTTTGGAAAGCCAAATTCTCTGGAATCCTGTCTGGCCAGAATGGTTGGGGAAGATATCCTTGTGGTCCTGGACACCAGCTACCAAGGAGCGAAGATGAGATGGGGCTGTTGTCATCTGGTTGTCTGCTGTAAGAAAAGAAATGGTGGAACTCTTGGTCATTGCTCATAGCCACTGACAAATATGCCCTGCCTGGATTTCCTAATCGCTATCCATTTTTTATTTGAAGTACGTTTATTCCAGTCTGAAGAGCTAACATATAATCAATAAACCAAGATAGACCTGCAACCCAGAACTAACAAATCTAAAATACATGACATAAAATGGGGGAAGGGGGATGGGGAAAAGGAGGGGACTACCAACACAGTCACACATTTTTATAATTAAACAGGAAGAAATGGAAAAGATCAGGTGCCCAATGATGGAAGTAGTCTCTTGCAGGATGGGGGGGTCTGGTCCTGAATTCCATTTCATGACCTAGAAGGCACTAAGCGCATGGATGGGAAGCCTGCGGCTCTTGGGATGCTGATAGATTCAGATTGCCTTTAGTTCCAAGCAGGATGGCCAATGACAAACATAATCAAAGAACCACTCTAGTTTAAGAATCATGTGTGGCAGAAGAGATACGTCTACCAATTTTTCTCTTTTGCCAGCAAGAAAAAAAAAGGGAGATGGAGGTTGATTTGTGCCACAGACAGTTCTGGCTTGAATCCTTCCCCAAACCTGTTACTGACTGTTAGAAGTAAAGTCTTCATCCTGTTTCATCCAAATTGGGAATAAATAAGCAAACATGGCAACTGCTTTGGGAATAAGGTTACAGTTTATTGCAGAAAGATGGTTCTTCAGGAAAGAGCAGAGGAGAGAAGGGCTGAGCACATGGTGTAGTAGGTTTTTATACCCCCTCTAGCCTTTTGTTTGGAATAGTTTCCTGTTCCTGTGGCATGAATCTTGAGGCTGTTTCTGAGTGTTTGTCTAGGCCTTGATATCTGTGGTTTAATTCTATTATCATATCCTGCTTCCCAGGTGATGGGGCTGACTCCTAGAGTTTGGGTGGCGTATGCAGATCTTCTCTTTTGTCTTCTTGATTGGTCTGGCTCCAACTTTCTGATGGTTTTACATCTGCATTTGTATGGGCCTAGCTCTTGCTTGGGGCAGAGAGATAGATTTGGGGCCAGGTTTGATTTTAAAAAGTCCTTTTGAGGAAAAATATATTTTTCTGCCCTTTTTAATATTTCCTTCTCTGGGCTAACTTCCCTCATAACCAAAATGAAACATGCAGGGGAACACAACAGAACTACAGTACTTCTAAACTGGCTGCCACCTTCACTGTTCTAGTATCGTATACCTTACTGGCTTTGACCTAAAAGCTAAGCAGAGTGAGGCCTGTTAGTTGGAGGGGGAGGGGGGAGGAAATCCAAAGCTATATTGTGTAGAGGACAACCCTGAAGGAAATATGCAGAAACAATTTAAAAAACAAAAACACACTTTAAACCCAGAAAACAAAGAAAGCATCAGAAAGAATCACAAAGTCACTGGAATATAAGGGTGGGTGGGGACGAGTGAACCCACAGTGAGGCTTGCAAGATTCTGTATCAGAATCTTTACATCAATAAAGTATATTCTGGTTAAACTTGTAAGATCTGATTTTTAACCTGGCCTACCTCAAGGAGATGACATCAAGCTTAAAAGCCTCCTACTCTGTATTGAGAGAGGGAGAGAATCAGAGATGGCTACTGGCCTGCAGGGGTCTGCATTGTCTGCAGAATACCTTGTTGCAGCATTATTACAATACCACCACCAAGTGGATTTACAAATAATTAATCAGCAGAATGCCAGGATGGAGCCAACACAGTATTCATCAGCAGTGGTAAAGCAGCCAGCAATTCAGCAGCTGGCATTTCTACACTCTCATGAGACTCTGCCAGAAAAGGCAATTTCTGGCTTTTACAACTTAGTGGCAATTGTTTATGGAGAATCAACCGGTGTCATTTCTTACCTATTGCACCAACGTGACTTTCGTGCTGAGTTTACTGAAAGAAGTGGAAGCCAAGTGGGCTGCACTGAAAGCAATGACTAAGTACTGGACGATTTCCAGAATTTCAAGCAAAGATTTAAAGCATCCTTCAACGATCTAACTTGGAGAGCAACAGCTGATTGAGAAGTTCCCTCAAGGTCATCATAAGAGTATCTGATTTGGCTCTGACTGGCCAACTTTGAGAAGGATTTGCTGATGAACTGAGAGTGGAATTGGCAAGACAAGGCACCTAGATAATTTAAAAAACATGTTCTAATGGTGTTTGGTAAAAGATGGCTGATTGGAAGAGTTAAATCACAGAATAGCCAGAAAAGGGGGGG